TGTGTCACCCCATCCTTGACAAACAGAAATAATCAGCCCCACAGTCTTTCTTTAGAACATGTATTCTCCCATCCGTCTTCTTTACAGGATCCTGTTCTATTGAATTTTAATAATTTAATGTTCTTAGTTTTTCATACTTATCAACTCCTAATTGATGCAGTTACATTTTATGTTCACTTAGCAAATGGAAAGCATCATTATCTTTCAAAAACCGAAGCTGAAATAGTACACTTGAAGGCAAACTACCTTGAAGTGATAAAGAGGAGGTAGAATTAACACATTACAAAACTATCCCTCATATACTTACATGAGGGGACTCACTTTTGTCTCACCTGAGTAAAGCAAAGGACAATGGCAGTTTTCTTAAAAGTCAACATGTATAGGGAGGGGAAATGAAGAAAAGTAGGATTTTCTCTAAATATCACTGTTAAAGAAATCATTCAAGAAGTTTCACCAAAATGAACTGATGGGAAGAAAAGGAAGGCAGACAAGTTAGCAAATTTATGAAGGTTACAGTAAGAGCAGAAGAGAGTCAATTTACCTGACAACAGGTCGGGTTTGGATGTCACCAAACTGCTGCGTTTACCATTTTACCCGCTTGCATTACTGGGGGGAAAAGTTTAGGAAGGAACATTCTCAAGGACTTTTCATAAGTTCTCACTCTCGCCATCAGAAAGGGGAGAAGGGAAGGTTTTCTCTGGATTGTTTGACTTTTTTGGCTCCTGAAAAGTTTTGCAAAGAACAGTAACAAAGTGTGAACTGTTAGAACGCATTTCTGTAAAAAAGGGGAGAATAAGTGACACAAAATAGAGCAACAACAAATCCCACCCGAAATCCACGCATCTAATTTGTGTCATCAGTTTAAAAAAATAAACAAAACAAAAACTTTTCAACTCAATTTGGAAATATGAGAGGCTTGGAGACTGTCAACAGCAGGCCAGGATCAACCATCAGAATGCTCCGAAAGTCACCCTCAAAGGTTAAGAAAGACTTAAAGAAATAAAACAAAGGAAAAGGCAGCAAACATTTGGTTATAAATCCTGCAGTGTTCAGTTTAGAGCAATTCCTAAAACAGTGAAAAAATTAAAAATGAAAAAAGACAGTAGCAACAGAAGTTACCTGTCCGAGCACCTACTATTCCATAGAGAGAACAGGAGTGGGTCGTGTGTCTCACACCAGCCATAAAGCCCATAAACCTTCTCAAAAGAGTGAGCCATGAGAAAGATACTGTACGTGCGATTTGTTTTCAAAGTCTTTCTAAGCCCTTAAGGTCCCTGATGTATTTAACTGACATATTTTTGCAATAAGGGGGAGAAAAGGTTTAGCAAACGTCACTGGTTTCTTTTGTTGGATTTTGAAGTCCATTATAACATCTGTAGAAGTATCTCCTTTGCGTCGGACATACACAGATGTTCCAGAAGTTATTTCCTGAGTAAGCATCACATGAAAGAAAGCACACGAAGCAGGAGAAAACATTCCAAGAGTGACCATCAGCTCAGAACAAAAATGTTAACAGTCCACATATGCATCAATCATCAACACTGTGTTACAGATAGAGTGTAACATTCCAAGAAAAGGTTTTATAAAACACATTAAAGCATTAAATACAAGGCTTAAGATACAATCTGTACATTGGCATAGCAAGACATCAATTATAGACACGGTCATTTGAACAGAAGAAAATTTCCAGTGTTACAAAGAACAAAATTTCATCAGATGTAGTTTAAGAAACTTATTCTTGCCAACAAGAGTTTCTAGCTGGGTCTTTCAAACATTAGAATATACAAAAACAGTTGTATCACCATCAGCTGTATGAGCACTATTGTAATCCAGCACTACATTGACCATTTTTTCAGCACATGCTTTCAAACCCACATACAGAGGTAGTGTTAGTGCAACTAGATAGAAGTTTAGCATGTGTTTTTCAGCATGTGGAACTGAAGGAAATACAGTATACAAAGCTGATGTCTGCAAAGTTCACCTTCAATGGGAGACACTGTCTTGTCACCACAGGCTAGGTTTGTTGATATTTTTTTCTTTAAGTAAAAACAAGACACCCCCTTGTACCCCCCACTCATTCTACAGATTTCACTATTTCAGGAGCAACGGATAGGTAGGGAGTGAATACATGAGACAAGTGTGCCCATTTGTATCAGTGAACCCTCAAGCAAGGTTTTCATATGCAGTATCAATACCCAATGTCCAAACAAATGTATATGATGTTTCAAATCCTGTCTCCCTCTCTGACCACTATGCATAGACTTATCTCCAAGCTAGCAATGGAAGCACCAACCACAGAGGAGCAATTTATCCCAAGGGAGCCAAACCATAAATCTCTCAATCCACTGTTTGTCTTGAAAAAAATCTCACGTTTACTTCACAGGTTTAACTATAATTAGGTGTAACCTGGACATTCTGAAAGAGTGATAGAAATGTGAAGTTCCTGTGAGCCATAGCCTTTCTCTGCAAAATACTACGGAGACTCAAAAACATTCCAGAGTGTTCAGTTACCAGCTCTTTCCTCTAAAAGATGTCTCCTGTGATAGAAATACAGAGGTCCTACTGCATCAACTAGCACATGTTTACTCCCTGATGTTATTCCACATGTGCTCAATGTGTGCCACAGCTGAAAAGGGAAGGATTGACCCTATCAGCCACTCAAGGAGTGCAGCCACCTTAGAAAAAAGGAAAAGGAAAGGAAAAAAACACCCAACAAACACGCACCACCCAAATTCCCCTTAGATAAACAAGCAGAGGGAGATGAGCCTCTGGAAGAGACTAGAAAATTAGGTTTCTTTCATGTTCTGTGTTCCTGCAACTCTTCATGGAAGTTAAAGAATTTTATATTTTTCAGGTATAACCTGCGCACTTGAAGGCTCAGGAAGAAAAGATTTGAAAATACCTTTACTGCTGAAGCTCCTTTTGTTGCTGGACCAGGTGGTCCATTCTCCTGCTTAACACCAACAGTCAACCTTTCACTTGATTTTAATAATAGTATTTAATTCTACAAAAAAAAAGCCATTTTATTACATTCCTTTTAAAATAAAAAAAACCAAACTGTACAAAGAAGCATGATCAAACCTCCATAAAGCAGGTTAATACTGTTCTGTTTATTGCCTCTTGAAGACTCTCTGCATAGTGTCCGTGAGTTGTGTTTAAGGTCCAAGTGAAGATAAAACAGCAGAGCAGCAGAGAGGTGAGGAGGGGCCACAAAGGTGGGCAGTGCAGAGCCTCAGAGGGTACATGGGACATGCTCCATTAAAGTATCCAGAAAACAGCAGCATTTCACACACACAACCCCCCTTCCAAACAAACCCTATTTTCACAAGATTATTCTTCAGTTGTAAACGTTTTACTTTTTGTTTCCTTAAAAAAAGGCTTATCTTTTTATATATTTCTCTCTCTCTCTCTCTCTCTCTCTCTCTATTTCCAGGGCTTTATGAACCCAGAGAATGAGAAAGGAATGAAAAGGGAGGGAGGAGAAAGAAGAGGAAAAGGAGGGGGAAGATAGGGACTGAAAAATGAACTCAGTATCTGTTTTGGTTATCTGTTTTCCAAAACAGCTCAAGGCTAATGAGAAAATGCACAGCCGGAAGGACTGAGGAAAATCAGACAGCCTGGAAAAAAAAATTAGGAACTAAACAGCCAAAACCCAAAAAGAAATAAAGCAAAGCAAATGCACACACACAAACACACACAAGTGTGTGCACTCACACCACACACACATAAGGGTCCAGGATCAATTTGTTAATTGTTTGTGGACCTAGGTTATTTATTTTTTTTTAATTCTGGCTGAGCTCTCTTCTCGCCCCCCATCCCGCCCTTTTTTTTTTTTTTTTTTTTAATTTTTCTTTTTTAAATCCGCTGCATGTTTCCCAAAGCTAAGCATTGAGTATTTCTCCCCTCTTTGGATTTCTGCCAACATCAGCTTTTATGTTCAGTGGGGAAAAAGTAAGCCTGGTAAGTATTTTATGAACTGCAGCTTTATTCTAAAGTACCTCTAGATGTCTAATCACTTTTAACCAATTTTTCCTTCCTCCACACCTTACCACATTTCCCCCCCACAAAAAAAAGAGCAAAAAATAAAAACAAACAAAAAAAACCCACACCAATGTACAGGCTTTAACTCAGTGTTTTCTTAACAAATAGTCTGCAGTGTTTTCACTTTGGCCACTGTTAAAGATGCAGGCATAGAGAAGGGAGTGTTTGACTACCATGTATTAAAAAAAAAAAAAGGAACATTAACATTGCAGATCTCTCTCAAAAAGACTAAAACACTAACAAATACAAGTCGATGCACGTTTGCTTTAAACTAGTGTAATTCTTTTTCACATTGGATTAAACATTATTTTGTACACCAAACATTACAGTGCTGTTTATCTCCTCCAATCATGCAAAAAATAGTTAAAACGTGCCACTTCTGCCACAAATAGAATATGACCAATTCCCCTACATACCTTCCAAAATCAGGATTTGAAATGAGAAAAGCACAAGTACTAAAATCCTCCTTCAAAAGTTTCATAAAGAAATACAGATACAAAGCTGTCAATTAATACCAAGATGGCACAAATTACAGATTTGTACAGAAAGCTCACGTTAAGTCAACTGACACTTCTCTCAGCCTCATCATTTGAAAGGCCACATCCTGCAAGGTCAGAAAGTGATGACTTTAAAAGGATCCTGAACTTACTCCCATCTGCAAGAGTAGTAACAGTAGGTGTGCAGAAACCTTGAAATACCCTCAACTCACACTGAGAATTTGAGGCACTCAGCAATTTACAGGATCAAGCCTTACAGAGGTAGAAGAGACTTAACTTGTGCAGTAATTCACAGAAGTTTCCAGAGAGCTGCCAGACAGCTTTCTGAAAAGTCTTCAAGCATGAATCATGCTCCAATGCTTTCCTGTGAACACACATGAACTGCAATACGTCTGGGGACCAAAGCAGCATCCAAATAAAATTCCCACTTCGATTATGAACTGAGCATCTTCATTAGATAACTGATGCTGAAGAATGAACACAATTTTATGTTCTGCAAAAAAGCAGGGGCAGCAATCACAGCACGCATGCCTTTTACTCTTGCTCTCTTGATTGACACCTCCACCCCTTTCCTCACTCCTCTGAGTTTCTCTGATAAACAGCATTGCAAGTTGGTTTAAAAAAAAAAATTTACAAGAGAGAGTTCTGTTGGTCATCTATTTACATGTGGCATCACTCCACAAGAAGTTTGATCTCATTGGCTAATAGCTGGTTCATGTTGAATAGAGCCCCCGGGAGCTTGGTGAGCAACTCTCTCTCCGTGGTCTCAGGGTCGCTGTCGACAGAGCTGGAGCTAGCACTCATATTGTCGACAGCGGCACTAGCTGGAGGGCCCAGCTCTGGCTCGCTAGTCTCGCTTGCCGTGGACACCACAGAGAGCAAGGACATGCGCCGCGTCAAGCGACCGGGGGTAAGGAGAGAAGCGGCATAGTCCGCTATGATACCAGCTACATCTAGATTACAAGCCTTGTCAAAGGCAATGAAACCTACATTTGCATTGGCCTCGCAGACGTAGAATGAACCGTCGTCCTTCATCAGCAGGTCAATGCCGCACACGTCCATCCCCAGGATGTTTGACACTTGGACTGCCAACTGCTTGCCTTGTTCACTCAGCGAGCACATCATCCCTACACCACCTGGAAAAAGTGAAAAAAGCTTGCTGTCTGTAGTCTAGTCTGGCATCCTTCTCAGCTGGTTGGTGCTTTTCGGCTGGGAAGCTCCAAAGTGAGCCTGCAAACATACTGCTGATGACTCAGAAAGCAACTTTCTTTCCATGGTGACTACCAATCAACTTGAAGCCGCAACAGGATTTCAAAAGATTCTGACCAGGTCAAGATTATGACTTCTTAAAAAAAACAGTAACTGCTGATTTTTCAGTCAAGAAAGATATAGATTTTTACGACCTTGGGATATTAAATATCATCTGCTTATGTTCCTCTCAGCTTGCTATCATAGGTTACTGTCTCTAAAGCAAGAATTAGGGAACATTTCAGTCTGAACCTCAGCTGCTCCAGTTCACAGTCCATCATCTAAGTATTAACCAACTCGGACTTCATCTGTCGCAACACTTAAGTTTAAAAAAAAACCCCAAACAATAACAAACCAAAAAAAACATTTAGCAGAAAAATCTTTCAGGTTTTATTTCCTCAGCATCAAGTAGTAACTAAAACCTCTCAGGCATTTGGGGTATTTTGACTAACCAATACGGTACTACACATGAACACATTTTATCCTATCCCTGCTCAGGTTCAGTAGCTTCAGCCAGGCAACCTCAACCCTTCTTTCTCCTTCCACCTTCACAAGCACCCCCATCCTACACCCAAAGCTATGCAGAAACTCAGTTCTGAGTATGCTACAATCAATGCAGTAACTTTCCTCTTCCTGGGAGAAATATTTGCAGGGAGGAGCTTGACAGGCTTAAGGCAGTACAGCAGCTGCACAATGCAATCCAACTGTTTATTGCCTTCAACAGTTTCCTCTCCTAACACTCTCTTCTACCCTCTTGCCAACTGGCTGTCTCCTCCACTTCCCTCAGTTCTGTCTTCAGACTTTTTTCTTTTTCTGTTCCTCTTAACAGGATGAAATGAATGATAACATGGCATCAGCATGACACTGCCATTGCCACATAAGTTGCTGTGTGTTCCTAGACCTTTCCCCTCCTTTGCATCCATCATATCCATCTAATACTTTGGGCAGAGATTATCTCTCCTTCCGTGTTTGCTCAACACACATCTCACTTAATCCTTAATCCCATGTGTCCTCTGTAAACCCCCAACAGAAAGCGCAATTAATACAAACTAAAATCTGCATCTTATTTCAGTTGGGTTTGTGATTTTTCAACTCAATTAAAGAATACTCATCAAAACTATGAACAATGCTTTTCCTACCAAGTGAGCAGTTACTCTGCATCCTCCCATCTGTTGAGCAGCGGAGCATGGTGCCTACCACACGGCCTCCTACTACGATGACACGTACATCCTTGCCATGGGACTCTTTAACATATTTTTGAAATAAGTAAGGGGCATCATGACGGATCAAATGACTTAGGTCTGCCAAATGGTGCTTGTCTCGTGCCAGGAACACAGCTTTACCTGTACGAAGAAAAGAACATTGGAAGATTGCAAGAAGCTACCGATTTGAGCTGCATCAATGATTCAGCGCATAAAAGTCAAACCTCTAACCAGTATACTGCCCATTCTCACAGGCCCCATCTGTAGCTTACACCCATTTAAAAATTCTTCTGTAGACATCAGTGTTCCACTGCTTCAGTGCTTGTAAGTGTTCAGGTATTGACACGGTTGAGGAGCCAGAAGAGGAGTGTAAAAAAAAAGAAAAAAAAGACATTGAAAGAATAAAAGAAAGAAAGAAAAGAAAACCGCTTTAGATAAAGGAGGTGGTTTTGTATGGTTTTGTAATTTCAACTCCTTTTAGTACAAGCGCTTAATGGGAGAAAAAAAGAAAGAAATACTTGAAGAGCAGCAAACATTTAATAGCACAGTTTTGTTCATCCAAGATGACTGCACCGGCAGCCTCCAGCTTTGACACACAGAAACCAATGACATGAAACTGTTTAACACCAGGCAGCTAAGAACACTTAAGTCACTTGTGTGCCACTGCAGAACCGCTTCACTATTGGAAAACTGCTGAGAGCTGCTCTTCCCAATGCTTACAGAAGCTCACAACTCCAGAATGAGGCCTTGCAGTGGAACAACTACAGTCAGAGGAAAACACGAGACTCCCCAGTACTCAAGATAAACTTAGCAGAAGAGTCCACAAAACACAAAATGAATGGAATGTACTGCAATTTTGGAAAAAAAAAAAAAAAAAGCCAAACCTCTTTAGCAACCACTGACTTTTCTGCAAGCAAACATCTAAAGAATTTCTTTTGTTTAACCTAAAACATGTCATTTCATTCCCCTTCATTTCTAAAGCACAGCAAAGATGACTTTGTTCTTTTCCAATTTTAAAATACTGATGAAAGTCACTCCTGAAACAGACTCCACCACTTTCTATCTGATTTCTAGTGTCACAAGAAGGCATTCCTTTCCATCTCTAGATACATTTCCCAACTCCTATCCCTCTTTCTTAAGCACTCTTTTATGTGTTGTACTAGATTTTTGATTTGCAGTAAGACTGCACAATTTTTTTGTGGCAGAATTGTCATTCAATCAAGCTACAATGTTAACAGAGTACCAAAATCAATTGATTAATTGTCTAGCTTAACTACAGGAACAGAAATTCAGTAGTAGCAGAACTAGGAGAAATAACATGTGAAGAAGAATGTCATCAAGTGCTCCAAAGCCCAACTGGAGCAGCCTCCGCTTCCTCAAGATTTAAGGTCTCCATTACACAGAACACTGCTTCAGAAACATGGAACCTCCTGTGCAAATAACCTCTAAAACTGATTTTAAACCTAGTTTCCTTTAGTACATCACTATCTAACATTAAACTAAATTGTTATATTGTTTCATATTCGGCATTTAAACCAAAAGACCAATAACAGAAAAAAATTAATCTGAACTTGCTGTACTATTGCCAGCACTGTCAGAGATATTTTTCTGAAAAAACAGCGATCCATTTTGACAAACAATATACGATATTTTATTTAAATCAGAATCCTAATTATAGAGAAAGTCAAGTAGAAAAAAGTCAAATTAAGACTGAATGAACTAAGATTTCATTTCTTATGTCTATTTAGAAACACCCCTAAAATCCATATAGGCTTCTCTCTACTTCCCTAAGGCCAGACCTTCTATTATTCCCGTTCAAAGCTTTCCTCACAGAAGTCACCAATGCACCGTGATTTTGAACCGCTATTCCTACTGCTATTGCAGGACTAGGTTCTACTAAAACTACTTCCCGGTGTTGCAGCCTAGTCAACATTCAGAAGTCGGAGAGTGGTAGAATTTAGATGTACTGCAAAGAAGTCCAAGACCTATGAAAAGTCCTTCTTAACTATTAACCCTTGACGAGACAAAAATCTTGAAGGGTGCTGCTCAGAATACTCCTTGCCCTCACCCCTGACCTCACACCCACCTCGGTGACCCCGCGTGTTCTTCACCACCATAGGGAACTCCAGCACTTCCGCCTCATCAATCATTTTGGCAAAATTCTCATGACCACCTGGCAAAAAGAAAACCAACAACATTATGTGCCACCAATCTGGTGTGGCCAAATTGGGGATGTAATCGCCACACATTCCTCCCACCCTTACAGCTTAGATAATGCAGAAAAACACTATCAGTTAAGAGGAACTTGGTCATGGAGCATGATCAGACTTCGAAGGTGTTTGTAATCTGTGGGATACTAACTTCTACTTCCTTTGAAATGGAAGACACAAGTTGACAAAGGTCTCTTGACCACAACCCCAAAAGGCTCAATCCAATCTTCCAAATCTGAATGCCCCGATTCTACCATCTTGTTCCAGTTTATCCCTTTTACTTCATCAACTCCCACCTTTTCAAATGTCTAGCAGGAACACAGCACAGACATAAGACCAGTAACAGTTCCATCCAAACTACTAACCAGGAAAGCAACATGGAATAAAAAGACAAGGCATAATCCAGAGACCCAAATCTTGTCACTCCACCTCCCCCCTTTCCAAGGCTTAAATCTCCTGCAACTCATTCTCCCTATATCCTGAAGTAGTACTTCGACCTTCTCATCTCATTGCACCTCTAAGGACCTTAGAGAGTAGCTTTTAACGACCATTCACGTGATTATGGTTGATAGTTCAAGGTTATTTGAGTTCAGTTTAATTCACAGAAGGCTGACCACAGCACAAGAAATACAGGAGAAAGTCAGCAGACAAGGGGATGAGACTCCTCTAACAGCGTGTGCAGTAAAGCGCAGAAGTCAAGCCAAGACACTGGTCACAAACCCAGCAGCAGCCATCATTACCCTGCCATGGTTTTTAATGCGTGTCATGGAATAACACAGCATTCAGCACATCCTGTTTTTCTTGGCAAAGCCAGCTCTCACTGATAACTTGATGCTTGTGTTAAAAAAAAAAAAAAGGAAAGAAAAGAAAAAAAAAAAGAAAAAAAGTCACGCTTCTGTCAAATTCCAGAGGCAGGCATAAAAACAAGGTGGGGGGAGTACAAACAGAGATCTTCTCCAGTTATCCCATCATTCGTGGTCTCCCCTTCCCCCGAAAAAATTAAAAACTCATTCACTCATTCCTTTCTCAGAGCTAGAGCAACCACATCACTAAAGAAAGGATACATTTCTTCTCACATGTATTTTCACAGTAATTGATGGAAATATTTGACTCATGTTTTTGTCAAGTTTGTTTGTGTTTTCGTCAAGTCCCCATTACAAAAACCTATCAGTGCAACCACACAAAGGGGAGGAAAGCACTGATATTTTCCAAGAAGGCAAGGAAGGCTGAGAGGTATCTTCAATTCTTTAATAGATTGTAATTAAAAGCAGAGACAACATCAGCGTAGCTCAGACAAATGGTTCCTCTAATCTAGCACACTATCAGGAACCACAATATCCAGAGGCAAGCACAAGAAACATCATCAATTAACTGTACTGGTGAGAAACAAACTCCAAACAATTGTTAAAAGTTGAACACGAGGGCCTGTACAACAACTAATATATTTGCATCTATTTTTATTCATATAGAATTTTAATCTACTTTCAGATTTTACCAAAGCCTAGATCTTTATAGTATCCTGTGACATTTAGTTCCCCAAGTCACTGTCTGTTGTTTCAGACAAATGGAAAAGAGTTCAGAGTATTCTAGTATTAACAGCCAAAGTAAGTGGTTTGGGAGGCTGAAGTACAGTTAAAGTATTCTTTCCAAAGCAACACAGCTAATCAACAAAGCCAAAACCAGAATCTGAGTGTTATGACTTTAATCTCCTTTTCTGGTTACCGAACACTTTTCTGTGGGATTAGCCTCATGCTACTTAATTCTGTGGATTTCCAGAACTTGACTTACACCTTTTGCACTGCAAAAGTACAAATTATTGTAGGCTACCCTGCTATTCTTCTAATCCAAAAGCCTTACCATATGAAAAAGTGTCTGGAAGAGGCACACCATGACCAGCAAGCTCTTGAAACGTCCAGAACTTGTTGACACAATTGAGGATGGCTTGGGGACGATTCATCAATCTACAGCCCATCTTCTCTAGGTGGCGAAGGACTGTGATATCGCTGTCACTCTGGACCCAAGGTGTTGGTACACGCACAACCACCACTTGTGGGTAAGCAGTAATGAGCTCCCCATTCACCCGGAGACCTAAAGAAGGAAGAAAACCCCATTCCAATCAACAACAAGGTCTTTAGGAGAAGGTAAGCAGGCAAAGAAATACTGTACTATATGTGACCATAACAGAGATACCAGACTTCAACAGCAAGCATTAAAACAGTGCAACTCTCCCTAAAATGCATCTTGTCATTGTGCTGTTTCATATATGTCACTCTTAACCCACTTAAAATTGGGACTAGGCAAAGAACAGACTGTATTAGGGTGCACAATCTTGGGCTACCTCCTAGAGTGAAGGACTTTTTTTTTATAGGTTGACACATCATCCCTTCTATGGGTGTTAGCTGCACACTACATTCGTATCAGCAGTATCAACAGCTAAGGTTCCTGCCTCCCACTGCTGGTTCTTACCTACATGTTACAGTTCATACCTTTCCCAGTCCCAGCTGTATTGATCCCTGTTTGTGCTATCACGTTACACAACATATTGCCAAAGTATCAGAGATTAGATATGGCCCTTAAAAAAACCGAAAACACAGCAGTATTTTTAACACAGATAATATCAACAATCTGATTTATACTAAAAAAAGTACTCAGAAATAACTATCAGCTAACAGGGCAGCACCCCATGACATTAAGGCAGGAACTAGAAGGAAAGCCAACTTTGCCATCAAGACCAATGTATTACTTAATCACGACCTACAGTTTTACAGACTGTGTCTCTGAAAAAAGAAACACTGAAAGACAGGCTGCAGGAATGGGAACACAACAGGACTGGACAGGAAGGCATCAAGATTGATGAAGACAGTCTGACATCTGGGGATGAGAAAAGATGAATAGGATTTAACGTTCACTTTATTTGCCTTATGTTCAAAGTAAAACTTTGACTTCAGTGTAAAATACACAGCTCACACTGCAGTCAGCACCTTAAGGGTTAAAAAAAAGAAAGAAAGGGAGCTGAGAAATCACAGTGCATCTGCATTTCTGTGCATATGAAAGGCCAGCTGTAACTATTCAGATCTAGCCCAAACTAATTATCTGACTAGCTCTATTCCAAAGAGGTTACTTTTCAAATATAGACTTAAATCTACGCAGCCTGAAGACATATATTGCCAGGCCATATATTTAATTTCAAGGTGCTTTTGAATTAATTGGAGGGGGGAGAATGGAGGGTGTCCCCCCTCTCTGTACTTCCTGTTTTCTTTTATTCTCCCAACAAGGATGTGTTTTGGAGCTTGCCTTAAATATAGTAAAGCAGCCACCTAACTCCCAAAATGGAAGTAGAAATACGCTGCCCAGTCGTCAGGAGGACACAGAACCACACTCTGGAAAGGCCAAAACAGAGCCATATCCAATACAAATCCCTTTTTCCAATCCCCATTGCCATAATTGTACAGAGATGAGAAAACATACGCGCAGACGGGTGCTCTGGCTGCTCACCTCATTAGCACCAAGCATTGCCGCATTGCAGCTGACATGACTTGCGTGTTTAAGCAAGCAGGCTTCAGACACACTCACACACCATTTTATAGAGGCATCTCAAGCAAGATTAAAAACAAGACTGCTAAAAACCTAAGCAGAATGTGAATATCAGGAAATGGACTATCTCCTTTAGCCAGAAAAGGAGTACAGATTCAGCAAGCAAAAGATTTTTAACTCATTAGTCAGATTCCACCTTACACACGTATTTTCTCATTTAGGTACACGCCCGATTACACCCACTTTTTGCCACTGTAATTGCACGCATGTCCTGATCCACATGCAAGCTGCGTAACAGTCATTTTAAAAAGGACTGCATTTTCTACAGAGCCCCAAATTGCCACTGTATCTTTGCTGTGAACCAACACTACATGGTTTTCTAACTCATATTCATTTCTAATTCTCAGAGTCTATTTTGTTGTTTTACTTTAAAGTCACACCACTTGCTGAAGCTTTGGATCATGGAGTCTGAAAAAGAGCAGTCTGAGGAGATGCATATGCCTCACCTGGAATTCTCCTGAACACCTGCATTAGATTTGACTATCAGAACTGTAAATTCAGCTCAGGCCACCATTTCCCCTGGCATGACTTTGGAAGCACAATTATGATATCAACAGAACAATTTGAGCTTTTGTTCCAGATTCAATCATTTTCTCTGGTCTGGATACTGTTCTCCCCAGAACAAAAAAAAAAATTCTCTCCCCTCTAGAAGACTGTTTACAAACAAAGAGAAGAGCTACTCAATGAAATGTATAATTTGAATCACTACTACTGACATGCGCCATAAAAATTAGCTGCAGTCTCCCAGCAACACAGTGCTGCAAACAGAAGCAGCTTTATTACAGTAAAAAGGAAAGCCAGATTCTGCCATTTTGGAACAAGCTTGTATTTAGCATTCCATCTGAGACCCCGCAGTTAACAATCAGATTAATGGTCATTATTAATGAGTGGGCTGATAAAATAATATTTATTCACTGTGGTGTGCTGAAAGCAGTAACACAGAAGATATTAATTCATATAGTTAAATTTTTTTCCGAAGAACCAATTCACAAATGCAAAGAGGGTGAAAAGAAAAAAAGAGATGTTACAGAGATGTTACTTAAAGAATGGTTAAGAGGTAATCAAACTTTTTGTTGAAAATGGAGATGAACTCTCTTTCCTTTGCAGAAATAGTACCATCCTGGTCTCAGAACAGTAGTAGAGAATTACATTCACAGTTGCCTCTGGACAATGAAACAACCTCACAAACACACAGAAGGCAGGTATTCAGATCATCCAGAAATACTTTGACAAACAACAAGTTCATCCATTTGTTGGCTTTCTCAATAGATGTCCATGACATCATGCACATGGCGAACAGAGCTACACAGTCCTCACAAGTGCCAATACCAAGAGCCAGGAAAGGCAGATTTCATGCTTCTCTAACACTTTGAACTTTACCAACACATGTAAATCCTGCACTTGAACAAGACTTGTTCTTTCTCCTACTACCAGCTTTCTTTGTCCTTCCTCTGCAAGATTAAACTATCCAAAATGGAACACAGTAGATCTTTAACATTATACAGCAAACATCACAGTATTCAGATGAAAGTGCAGAAGGAGTTTTTGCAAGCAGAACTATAATCACCTGGGAATGAACTTGAACAGTTACACCACATCCCTCAAAGCTGAAAAGCCTCAGGTTTCTCTCAAAGACAGCTCAAAGTAGCATATGATAGAACTGGGTGGGGAAGTGCATGATTCCTCATTGGTTGGCCCAACTGGTCCTGCTGCTTGTCATTCCCAGTAGGTAAGCTTGAAGTACAGCCTCTGGTCTCTGCTAAAAAGGCTCATTTTGACCCAAACAGATTAGAAGCCATCACACGAACCCATGAAGTCCACAGAAAATGAATGCAGCATTAAACTCTAGTGAAGACAGAAAGAGGCAGAAACTTCTATTGCTGTTACCAGTGAGATCAGATTTATCTATACCCTAAGGAAGTTCTTGAGACAGTAACATCTAACATGGTAGAGCCTATTTGCATATCAAGATACTCAGGATGACAGTTGCCTCTCAATAACCTAATTTAGTACAATTTGGGGGTTGAAACACATCCTTTGGAAACAACACAAAATTCTGGAACTTCCCAGCCCGCATTCATACGTGCATGGTTATTTAATACCTTCTGTCTTCCCTGTAACAAATTTACCTCATGATCACAATTTCTCAATTAAAAAGCCTAACCCTGAAGAGAGTTATCATTTAGGTGGCACACATTCCAAATGAAATGCCTTAGAATACAGATATACAAACAAAACTGAGTTATCATGACTTAAAAAGTTGCTGCCCGTCAAGTAAGACTCCCAAGCTGACTATGTGCTTGCTCCCACCCTACAGTAAAACATAAGACAAAATGCTTGACCTTAACCCTCTCTGAAGGTATTCTACAATAATGAATCTCAATACACAACTGGGACCAGCTAAGTGCCCAAATGAAGGCATTGTAACAATATCCCATAAAGCCTGCAAGCCAAACACGCTTCTGCAAGTCAATCACATCTACAGCCCGAGTACGTAAATTCTTAAACTGCAGCCTCACACCTATGACAATCCATAAACAGTGATCCTTCATCTACCCAGTTATCCTACTTTCTTGTGCTTTAGAAACTCTAAGAAGCATTTCTGCATTGATGCCATTCTGTGGCTTCTGAATATCTTAAATCACATCCAAGGAGCATTTTAAATTGCTAGACATTTTTGAAACTCATTCTGTTGAGTTTGTACTTTACACAAACTCCTTCCAATCTCTACAAGAATCAGTTAATCAGGAGATTAATAGCTACTGCAAACCAATATCTCATGTCCAGTTTGGATGTTGTGAACAATTGTCCTTCCAGCTGAAACAATGCAAATGTTTTCACAGAAGGAACATGGTTTCTGGAGAGTGGTCTAAAACCTCAAAGATTTACAAGGACATCAAAAATAATCACAGAGCTTTTATAGCTCTCTCTATAGCAAACATCAGGCATTTTTAACAACAAATAAATCTTCGTAATATCAAATAAATTGATAAACGTATTTTCACTCCAAATTATAACTTTGGAAAACTGTCAAAAAAAAAAAAAAAAGCAAACTGAGTTACCAAGACAGTGAAGTACTTAGGACTCAAATTCAGGTCTTCAAGTACAGCATGTGACTGCAAGAACCATAGCCAACTTCTTCAATAAAATGGTATGATACAAAACTAAAAGCTTAAAGAACTTAATACACGAGCAGGAGAAGACCTGGGTAGGCTTACATGTAAATCAAATTACTGGCATCAAGCTTCTATTTTTATGCAATTTAAATCATCAGTATTCTTTGATAGTTTATGATAGATGAAAAGACTAAGATAGCTGGAAATGTCAGAAGCCATGGCCTGGGGAAGAAACCCATGTGACACTGACATAGATTAACGACGAAGAAATTCTCAGGCAAAAATACTACATTTACTTTTATATGTACATTAGAAAAACCTAAATCAGTAAATTGGTTTTCATGATGAAAAACACCAAGCCTTTCAATCAGTGCCTGA